GCCGATGCCTCCGTCGCCTGGCTGGAGTGGCCGCGGGGGAGTCTGGAGTCGGGCGGCCGCTGGTGGGAGCCGCGGGTGCCCGGGCCGAGATTGGGGGGGCAAGGCGGGCGACAGAAGGCCGATGCCTCCGTCGCCCGGCCCTCTACAGAATCCACCCCCCAAACCTCCAGGTATTTCCCTCCTTAGAGCTGGCAACCCTACATTCCCCTCAGTGCCTGTTGGTAGGCAACTAAGCTTGGTCCTGTCACCTACTTTGGCCTTTGGGAGAAAACACATTGGGGCCAGTCCTGATAGGGTTGCCAACTCCAGATGGGAAATTCCTGGAGATTTGAGGGATGGAGCCTGAAGAGGGTGAGGTTTGAGGAGGGGTGGGACCTCAGACAGGTACACTGCCATAGACTCCACCCTCCAAACCAGTCAGTCCCACATAGGGAACCATTGTTGCCAATCTCCAGGTGAGGGCTGGAGAGCACTCAGTATTACAACTGCTCTGCAGAAGGGAGGGCAGAAGTCAGCTGAAGTCAAAGGGGCAGATAATGGTAGGTTGGTGGCTAGCTGGGAAGGAGATGGGGTTGCCAACTACATGCTGACAAATTCCTGGGGATTTGAGGGGTGGAGCCTGGAGAGGGTGGGGTTTGCAGAGGGGTGGGACCTCAGACAGGTAGAATGCCATAGACTACACCCTCCAAACCAGCCATTTTGTCCTGGGTAACAATTGCTGCCAATCTCCAGGTGAGGGCTACAGATCACTCACAATTACAACTGCTCTTCAGGTAGCAGAGATCAGTTCCTCTGGAGAAAACAGTGGACTCTGTCATTATACCCTGCTGAGGTCACCACAGCAAATTGACACTGTTTGCCCAAAGCCAGAGCACTGCCCCAGAGCCTCTTTCTAGATCTCGTTGTATTGCTTTCACAACGGGCTTTACTGCTAGTATGAAGATAAAATAGAAAGAGGGGGCTGCGGCTCTGTGGTAGAGTGTCTGCTTGGCATGCAGAAGGTCCCAAGTTCAATCTCTGGCATCTCCATTAAAAGGATTTGGTAGTAGGCAATGGGAATGACCTTTACCCAAGACCTTGGAAGGCCACTGATAGACAGTGTTGACCTTGATGAACTAGTTCAGTATAAGGCATCTCCAGGTGTTCATACACTACTATGAGCGCTATGTAGGAAGGATACAAATGTGAAATGGCTGCAGATCACAGAAATGGCTGCAGCTGTACAACTGCACAACATAAAATTCTGCCTCCCACCCTACCAGCTCTTCAGTGTTGGCTTTGACGCTGCCACAGAACAAGCCATACCTGGCCACAAAGATAAGCCATCCAGCCAAAATGACATATAATGCTGCCATACTTTGCCAGGTCACTACTGGTCTATCACTTTTGTCCCACACAACAGCTCTTCTAGGGTTCTGGCCTTTCCCTCTAGCTACAGATTTTGGGGATTACAACCTGGGGCGTTGTCACTATGCTATGGTCCTTCCCCTATGATCCAAATCACAAGACATTTGCAGTGCCAATGGCAACTTGCTAATACATGTAATCACAGGGAATAGTACGTGATGTATGAGCAAGATCATACCTGTTGCAACCAGCATGCAGGAACACTTTTTGCAGAGAGGCAACTTTTGTGTGAGAATTCAATTACATGTTGCACTCAGTCCATCTGTAGTACTGCCCCCTCCCCCAGCAGCAAACAGATTGGACTGACTGACAACAAGTAAGCAGGAAATTTGTAATAACTGCATCTAGCCAGTTAAACAGTTTTATTACCATGCAACACAATTCAAATCAAGACATTTGTGGCATAAGAACATTTGTTACATTTTTATCCCATCTTTCCTCCAATGAGCTCAGGGTAGTATACATGGTTCTCTACCACTTCTGTTTTTATCAGTCTTCTGAAATAGTTTAGGGTGAGACAGTGTGACTGGCTTAAGAGCACTCAATAAGCTTCATGGCTAGAGGACCAGACATGAGTCAGATAAGAAACTACAAAAGCCAACATACACTATTTTAGAAAAAAACTTATGCTATTCGTACATGGTATTCAACAGTAAGAATTGAATGTGCATGATGGGTATTGATTACTATACTTGAACTCTTTCTGTGTCATTTATTAGTATAATCTCCT